AACAAGAAACCCACTTTGGATGTGGGGAAATATCAAACAATAGTCTGGGCAGCATTTTGGGTTTTTTTTTTGTTTTTTTTTGTTTGTTTTACTTTGTTGGTGCACTTTTGGGGTATTTGTTGTTTTTCGTCGACAATCCCCATGTGGGGGGACAGGCCCGACTGAAGCTTCGGCCCCAGAGTCGAGGCAGGGCCACAGAGACGTGGCGCAGGACTCAAGACCACGACATGGGAACACATAGAGGCAGACACACGAGAACGCGGAGGTCCGCGCGGATTTCTCGGATCGGCGCTGGGCCCCCCCCCCTGGCGACGCCATTCCTGTGGAGGAGCAGGCGAGGGGAGCGGACAGCGACAGCATACACAAATCGCATCGGCAAGCGTGCCGGACACTTACCATGGTCATCGCAAGGCTGTCCTGCGAACGAGGCACCTGGCGCGCTCCGCACGCCAAGGAGAGGGATCCAGCGCCGATCCGAGCAATCCGCGCGGACCTCCGAGAATGTATGCTCACAATCAGACCTATAGGCCATGACAACATCCCTCAAGACCAACACGACCCTCCACCGGCCAAAAACACACAGAGCATCCGAAGGTACCCTCCCCCAGGATGCACAAGAGCGTCCAACAGACACGAAGAGCACCAGGGTACCCTCCCCGAATCGACCTCGATCTTATACTTCGGTCCGACTCCATCTTACCATGAGCTCGGTCATCTTTGTTTCAAGATCTTGGAGGATGCTGCTTTGCGCATGCAGGCGCGCGCATGTGGCACGATTGGGTATTTTCCACGGGGTTCACGAGATAGGCCAACGACTTCAACAACGTACAGTGACTGGAAAGGGACCGGCAAAACATCGAACGAATGCCCAACACGTAGCAAAACGTTCTCGGCGAATGCTTTTGCAGTTGAGATGGGTGGGCGCGGGACCGACAGCACACGACAGCGCACGAAGCAGTGCCCCGGGCGTGGCCCGGCCGGCAGGGCCCCGCCAGAGAGCACGACTCAGACAAGGAGTCACGGACATCGGTCTTGAATCGAGGGATCGAGGATCAGGGACTCGAGGAAACGAGGAAACGATGGTGGAGCATCTGGTCATGGTCTCTGCTCGTCGCCCATGGTCCATGGTCGTGCCCCGCGGACCCTCGTCCTACATCACAGTGTGGCCAGGGCGACCGAGGAACGCGAGCACACCAAACCGCCCACCCCCTCTCGGCGGCGATCCCGGGGGGAAGTGAGACGGAGAAGGTCTTCTCAGAAGGCCCGGAAGTCCCCCGGCCTTCTGAGAAGTGTTCTGAGCTGCCCCCGAAGAGCCAGGAAACTTCTCAGAATGCCCGACGGCTTCTGAGAAGCCCGCCGCCCTCTGAGAAGGCCTTCTCCTTGTCACTTCCCCCCTCGCTCGCCGCCGACTACCATGACGCGTTACTCCGTCTGACCCTATCGCGTGCGAAGGGCCCATATGTTCCACATGTGTTTCCCAACCCTCCTTTTTTGGTTTCCCGTTTTGCATGGAGCAATGTTCGCGCACCTCCTTCCTTCCTGGCTCCAGTCTCCTCCCTCGTCCTTCTTTTCCTGTGCCCCCCAACTAACGAATTGCGCAGCTGTCGCCGCTTTCGTAGGCTTCTGGGAGTTCCAGCGGAAGCGATAATTACAGTAAAGGCCAGTCCACAAGAAACCTTCCACAAGAAACCCAACCCTGAGACTTCACGACATCAATCGATTTTCGGTGTGGGAACGTCACGCTTCCCAACGCAAAACCCTCGCAACCCAAGAAACTCAGGGCACCCTGGAGGCAAGCACCCAGGGCACCCTGTTTCTTGGCATGGGCCTCCACTGTAGTCACGTAGGCCCGTTTGGGACCTCGCGGCTCTCTGGGGGGCTGCGAACTGACAACTGTGGCAATTTTCTTGGGCTCCTGGGAAATCCAACGGAGTAGGTCGTCACGCGGAAACGTTTGAGACCTCGCGGCTCCCCAGGGTCTGCGAACTGTGCAACTGTCGCCAATTTCGTGGGTCCCTGGCTCACGCGGACCCGCTTGGGACCTCGCAGCTCCCTGGACGGCTGCGAACTGCGCAACCCTCGCCACTTTCGCTGGCTCATTCGAAGATCAGCGGGCGCGGTAGTCACGCGGACCCGTTTGGGTCCTCGCGGCTCCCTTGCGGGGTGCAAGATGCGTAACTGTCGCCACGTTCGTTTGCTCGGAGGTCCAGCGGAGGCGGTAGTCACGCGGACCCCTTTGGGACCTCGCGGTGCCCTGGGAAGCTGCGAATTGCGCAAGTGTCGCCGCCTCCGTGAGCCTCTTGGAGGTCCAAAGGGGTGGGGAGCCACGCGGAACTGTTTGGAATCCCGCAGCTCCCTGGGCGTTGCAAATTGCGCCACGGTCGTCGAATACGTGGGTTCCAGGGAGGTCCAGCGGAGACGGTAGTCACACAGAGACGTTTGAGTCCTCGCAGCTCACTGGGGGTTGCGAACTGCCCAACGGTCGCCAATTTCATGGGTTCCTGAAAGGTTCAGCGGGGTGGGTCGTCACGCGGCGACGTGTGAGACCTCGCAGCTCCCTGGACGGCTGCGAACTGCGCAGCAGTCGCCACTCTCGTGGGCTCCTGGGAGGATCAGCGGAGTGGGCAGTCACGCGGGCTCGCGCGGGACCTCGCTGCTCCCTGGGGGGACTGCGAACTGCGCAGGTGGTGCCACGCTCGCGGGCTCCCGGGAGACCCAGCGGATTGGGCAGCTAATGCATTCCGGTGGGACCTCGCGGCTCCATTGGGGGGCTCTCCCATTTTAAAAAAGGAAAAAATACGAGCATGAACTTTTGGCGCTCCGAGCGGATTTCTTTTCTTGGATCTGCTCCGGACCCCCCTCCCTGGCGCGCGGAGCGCGCCAGGGGCGGCGCCGGAGGCGCCGCTGGGGGGGCCCAGCGCGTATCCAGGAAATCCGCGCGGAGCGCCAAATCGTATGCTTACATTCAGATCCCGACCACATCTAACCCTGAGACCCCAAGACACCCATCGACTTTTGGTGTGGGAACGTCACGCTTTCCAGGGCACCCAGGACACCCTGGAGGCAAGCAGGGTGTTTTTTGGCATGGGTCCCTGCTGTAGCACGCGGCGCTGCATCACAAAGCGCAGAGCGCTGGAGCGCGCCAATCGGCGCGCGGCGCTGTCCTCAGCGGCCAGTGGCGCCCGCCCCCCCCCCCTCCTCGGCTGCCTGCCGCCCGCCGCAGCTACTGGAGGGAGCCAGGCAGGTGCAGCGCACTCCCTCACCAGTGTGCGTCCCCATTCCCCTCCTCCATCCTTCTCGTCTCCTCGTGCTCTCTCCTCCTCCTCTTGTCCCTCCTGCACTTGTGCCTCCTTTTTCGATGTGCCTCGTCGTGTCTGTCAGGTGCGCGACGGGCATGGCCCGACGACGATTTGGCGAAGCATTTCAAAGGGCTGCGTCTCTCGCAACGTGCGCTTTGTATAGAACGTTTGTATACTTGGCAATCGTGGAGAGGTACGTTGGTACCTCTCGGGTAATTGAAAAGACTCGGTGTTGAAGCAACATGCCTTGAAAGATGACTACATGCCCAATTCCAAGAACATTAAGCTGCGTTTGTCACCAATCCCTTGTTTTACTTCTGTATACTGCCGCCAACCTTCCGCAAACAAAAATCATTGTGCTGCATTGTTTCCGCATTCCTTCCGAAATCCTTCAACAACCCTTCCACCAAACCCAAACATGTGCCAAAATTGACTTCTCACGAATGCAGACGCGACGTTCTGCGCTAGAATTCCTGCAATCACACACGGCTCAACACGTGATACCATCAACATCTCAGACACACGGTATGTCTAACATATGTTTGCCCATGCCGGAACTAAACAACACGCCACGTTCAACACAATACCACAAAACAGTAGTTCCCGCTTGCGCGTCGCCCCCTCAAAACAAACACAGCACAGCAGATCACGACACTACCATCTCACAAGCCATGTTGATTATGTAACGTTAAAAGCCTAACATGCTCAATTTCAAGACAAACACCTTATTTCCCACTTCCGCGACGTCCCCTCGAAACATACGCATCACAACACATGACAATACTAACAACTCAAAACACATGATTGTATGCTGATAGACCCAATCCGGAGTTTGGACACGTCAATAAATTTCAAACCGAAGACATTAGTTTCCGCTTGCGCGACAACTGACTGGAACAAAACACATCATAATACAGAACAGCGCTAAAAACTCAACTACAAAATATTAGTTCCACCAATTTTAAGCCTAACCAGGGCTGCATGATATTAGTATTGATGCTCTCTATACTGCTCACCGTTTATCGTTCAGGATCGACCGACAGGGCCCCGAGAGGGCCCCAAGACGCCCACAAGACGGGGCCCCCGGGGTGGCAAGATGGTCCCGAGATTTCCGAAGACGGCCCGATAATGCCCCACGGGATGGCCCACGAGACTACCCCGATAACCGCAAGACTTGAGCAGGGACCGACCGTCCGGGCATTCCTATAGGCCTACCACGAAAGCAGTGTTCTTAGAACCTGACCCCGACGTGTTCAAACAAAACGGTCTCAGCCAGAAAAGGTTCTAGGAACATTTCGCGCAGACCACAAAATGTTCCTAGAACGTTCCTTGGCCTTGGTGGACGTATATCGGGTCGGGCGAAAGGGGGGGATAGCAAAGGGGGGGTTTGAGAATCAGCTCACGTAGCTGATTTTCCCGGCGCCTCCCGGCGCCGGAGGCGGCATGTATCGAGGAATGGGCCCCTCGGTGAGGCCGAAACCAGCTGCATGCAGCAAATTTCGTAGCCCCCCCTTTCCCAATCCCCCCCTTTCGCCCGACCCGAGTATAGGCGCGCCACGACGCTCCGCCACTGCTTCAAAGATGGCTCCGTCCGAGGGGCCGGCGGGGGAGGACGCAGCGTATTGGATGAAAAAAACAATCGCGGGGCAGCACAGCCGCTTCGACGGTGGGCGCCGCTCGCGCGCCAGAGGCCACGCGGTCTCAGCCTTCGTCGCGCTCCGCGTCCAGCGCAGAGAGGACGGATGCGGAGATCAC